TTTTCTAAGAGGAACAATGCATTTTGATTTGTTTAATTAAAAGCATTAGTGAATATATACAATAAAACAGAACCCAAAACAAACAACAACAAAAATGTCCTATCAACTTCTGAATCATTCCTTTACCAGTAATAAGCATTTTCAACAAGGATAACACATAACCTGACAAAGGTTTGATGTCGTACATTCCATCAAAGTAAACATAACCTTTACAATTTGTTTTCAATCTTGTTTCACTTTTACAAATAGACACAGCAACGTGTTCAGTCACAATCTGAACAACATGCTTTGGTAATATTACTGGAGAAAGTTTTCTTGATAAGCATGTACCAGAATTGTAGAAAAGTGTAAAAACTCTTGAAAAGCTGGTCCAGAGGTCTGCAAAGGGATCCTCAAAGTGTCTCAGTTTAGAAAACTTGCAAGTAGCAAAATGTGAACTGATAGTAGTAGAGTCTTAAATGAAATAACCTAAAGACAATTATAAAAATATTTTCAAATAAAAGTACTGTCTTGCTATCATACAATATTATACACATGAATTGAGTAAAACTTTTCTTTCTATCATATATTTAAATAATTATGATTTAATTAGAAACAAATTATGAAGAAAATGTAATTCAACATGGCTATATAATATACCAACTGCTTTGGCTTCATTGTACTCTCCTCATCATGCATATGGAAAAATAGCTGTTCTTTGAACTATAATTTATCAATTTAGATCTGTATATTAAAACTAATGAAAGTTTCATATAAAACACTGTTTATGGCATTTTGTTTATAGAAAGTAGAAACCAATTTACTTTAATTTTAATAATTAATTACATTCTTATTTTTATTAGATATTTTATCTACATTTCAGATATAATCCCCTTTCCACATTTCCCCCCTCCCAGGGACCCTCTATCCCATCCTCCTTCTCCTGCTTCTATGAGGGTATGCTCCCACCAGCCTTCCCACTCCCACCTCTACACTCATGATTTCCCCCACATTGGGACTTCCAGCCTTCACTTGACCAAGGACTTTCTCACCCATCTATGCTTGACAATTTCATCCTCCCATACATACAAAGCTGGGGCCATGGGTCCCTCCCTGTGTGCTCCCAGGCTGGTGGTTTAGACCCTCGGAGCTCTCCTTGGTTGGTATTGTTGCTTTCCCCTTGGGGCCACAGACCCTTTCAGCTCCTTCAATCTTCTTTCTCACTCTTCCATTGGGAGCCACATGATCAGTTCAATGGTTAGCTGTGAGCATCCACCTCTGTATATGTCAGGCTCTGGCAGATCTCTAAGGAGACAGCTATATCAGGCTCCTGTCAGCATGCACTTCCTGGCATCCACATCAGCATCTACATTTGGTGACTGCACATGAGATGGATACCCAGGTGGAACAGTCTCTGGATGGCCCCTCCTTCAGTTTCTGTCCCACACTTTGTCTCCAAATTTGCCCCTATGAGTATTTTGTTACCACTTCTAAGAAGGCCAAAACACCCACACGTTGGTCTTCCTTGTTCAGCGGCTTCGTGTGATAAGTGAGTTGTATCTTGGATATTGCAAGCTTTTGGGCTAACAACCAATTATAAGTGAGTGAATGTCATGTGTGTTCTTTTGTGATTGGGTTAACTCACTCATGATATTTTCTAGTTCCATCCATTTACCTAAGAATTTCTTGAATTCATTGTTTTTAATAGCTGAGTAATATTCCATTGTGTAAATAAATGTACCACATTTTCTGTATCCATTCCTCTGTTGAAGGACCTCTGGGTTCTTTCCAGGTTCTGGCTATTATAAATAAGGCTGCTATGAACATAGTGGAGCATGTGTCCTTGATATACATTGGAGCATCTTCTGGGTATATGCCCAGGAGTGGTATAGCTGAGTCTTCAGGTAATGCTATGTCCAATTTTCTAAGGAACCACCTCAGAATTTCAGAGTGGCTGTACAAGCTTGCAATCCCACCAACAATGGAGGAGTGTTCCTCTGTCTCCACATCTTTGACAGCATTTGCTTGTCACCTTTTGATCTTGGCCATTCTGACTGGTGTGATGTGGAATCTCAGGGTTGTTTTGAATTGCATTTCCCTGATGACTAAGGATGTTGAACATTTCTTTAGGTGCTTCTTGGTCATTTGTGTTTCCTCAGTTGAGAATTCTTTGTTTAACTTTTTACCTCACTTTTGGTACGGTTATTTGGTTGTCTGGAGTCTAATTTCTTGAGTTCTTTGTATATATTGGATAATAGCCCTCTGTCAGAGGTAGAACTGGTAAAAATCTTTTCCCAATCTGTTGGTTGCCATGTTCTCCTATTGACAGTGTCCTTTTCCTTACAGAACCTTTGCAATTTTATGAGCTCCCACTTGTCAATTCTTGATAAAGAGCATATGCCATTGTTGTTCTTTTCAAGAACTTTTGCCCTGTGCCTAGATATTCAAGGGTCTTCCCCACCTTCTCTTCTATTAGTTTCTGTGTATCTAGTTTTATGTGGAGGTCCTTTATCCACTTGGACTTGAGCTTTGTACAAGGAGATAAGAATGGATCGATTTGTATTCTTCTACATGCTGGCCTCCAGTTGAACCAGCACCATTTGTTGAAAATTCTGTCCTTTTTCCACTGGACGGTTTTAGCACCTTTGTCAAAGATCAAGTGACCATAGGTGTGTGGGTTCATTGCTGGATCTTGATTTCTATTCAGTTGATCTTCCTGCCTGTCTCTGTACCAATACCAGGTAGTTTTTATCACTATTGCTCTGTAGTAGAGCTTGAGGTCAGGATAGTGACTCCCCCAGAAGTCCTTTTATTGTTGAGAATATTCCTGGGTTTTTTGTTATTCCAAATGAATTCACGAATTACTCTTTCTATCTCTATGAAGAATTGATTTGGAATTTTTATGGGGATTGCATTGAATCTGTAGATTGCTTTTGGCAAGATGGCCTTTTTTACTATATTAATCCTGCCAATCCATGAGCATGGGAGATCTTTCCATCTTCTGAGATCTTCTTCGATTTCTTTCTTCAGAGACTTGAAGTTCTTGTCATAGAGATCTTTCAATTGCTTGGTAGATTCACACCAAGGTATTTTATATTATTTGTGACTATTATAAAGGGTGTCATTTCCCTAATTTCTTTTTCAGCCTGTTTATCCTTCAAGTAGAGGAAGGCTACTGATTTGTTTGAGTTGATTTTATATCCAGCCACTTTTCTCAATTTGTTTACCAGGTTAGGTGTTCTCTGGTGGCAGTTTTAGGGTCACTTAAGTATACTATCGTATCATCTGCAAATAGTGAAATTTTGACTTCTTCCTTTTCTATTCATATCCCTTTGACTTCCTTTTGCCGTCTGATTGCTCTGGCTAGGACTTCCAGTACTATAGTGAATAGTTAGGGAGAGAGTGCACAACCTTGTCTAGTGTCTGATTTTAGTGGGATTGCTCTCATCTATACCTACTATCCTTAGGTTTGGTCTTCTCATTGTGTCCTGAATTTCCTGGATGTTTTGAGTTAGGAGGTATTTGCATTTGCATTTTCTTTGATATTTGTGTCAATGTTTTCCATGGTATCTTCTGCACCTGAAATTCTCTCTTCTATCTCTTGTATTCTGCTGGTGATACTTGATTCTATTACTCCTGATCTCTTTTCTAGGTTTGTAACAAGGTAGTCTCCCTTAGATATTATTTTATTGTTTCTACCTACAGTTATATATCTTAGATGGTTTTGATTAATTGTTTCACCTGTTTGGTTGTGTTTTCTTGCAGTTCGTTAAGGGATTTTTGTGTTTCCTCTTTAAGGGCTTCTACCTGTTTACCTGTGTTCTCCTGTACTTCTTTAAGGGAGTTATTTATGTCCTTCATAAAGTACTCTATCATCATCATCATGGGAAGTGATTTTAGATTTGAATCTTGCTTTTCCTGTGTGACGGTGTATCCAGGTCTTGCTAAGGTTAGATAACTGTGTTCTGGTTATTCCAAGTAACCTTGGTTTCTGTTGCTTGTCTCTTGTCATCTGGTAACCTCTAGTGGTACCTTCTGTCACTATATCTGAATGGATCCTGCCCCTCCTATGATCCAGGTTGTGTTAGAACTCCTCAGAGTCTAGCTGTCTCTGTGATCCTGTGATCCTGAGCTCTTGGGTGGAAAAACTTCTGGGAATCAGGACACCTCTGGGATCCTGAAATCCTGTTGCTCTGAGTGCACTAGTTCCTCTAGGATGGCTCAGGATATGGTGTCTTCATTGGACCAGACCATTTAGGTGTCTGCCCCAGCCAAAAGGAGCAAGCAAGGAGTGGAAGAAGAGTGGTATTCCGGAGGGGCGGGGTTTGGGTGGCTGATGGGTCCTGTGTTCCCCAGGCTCCCAGTTTAGCTCTGGGACATAGGATAGTGGGAGAGGATTCTTACCTGCTGCACTGAGTGCAGTGGTTCCTCTAGGATGGGTCAGGATATGGTGTCTTCACTGGAATAGACCAGCTAGTTGTCTGTTCCAGCCAAAAAGACCAAGTGAGGGGCAATTAATCACATTCTTAATGTATGATCATGACTATATCTTTTTTCTGAATGTAATAACAGGTATATGTCCTCTTACAAAAGAATTAATTGAAAACTGATATGCTTATATCTGCACTTCTATTACAATTTTATGATCTGAGATATATAATGACACTTATTTGCTTGGGAAATCTTTCTGTGTCAAAGGCAATTAATTATACATTGCCTGTAAGCTTTAAATGCATCCTTTCTGAAAATCAATTACAAAACTCATTACTTTAAGAAATAAGCTAATAACTCTTCAAAAATATGTATATACAAGAAGTCTATATCATCATGACTGCATCTTTAAATCATAATGACTGGCAATTAGATGAAGACGAAGAAGGAAGATGGAAGTAAGAAAGATATATAGAGGTGTGTAATATCTTTAATGACGTTAAAAACTTAAGTAAATGTATAAGTAATAATAACATTGATCAATTTACAGTTCCACATAATAGCAATCAACTTTCTCCATATTTTTCCAGAAAATTCAGACCATCAGTGCAATCGATAGAGATGAGTCCATAGAAGATCACCATTTTTACTTTAATCATTCTGTGGAAGATGCAAACAACTCAAGTTTTACACTTAGAGACAATCAAGGTAACTCCTCATTTATAAGTGTTTTGATGCAATCAATGATCTTTTATTCCAATATGTTTATCTAACTGATTATTTATTGTTCAGGCAACATGATACTACTGAGAAACAAAACAAAAGGGTACTTGGCCAAAATTGGAGAATGATCTCAAAGTGAACTTGAAGGACACCGGATCTATTCCTTATATTGTTTCAAACTAGAGAAGCAGAGTTGAAAATCATTAGTGTGGGGGCTAGAGATGTAACTGCTTTGCCTGGTTTATGTAAGGATATGAATTTGTTCTATTACACGTAAATTTAAAATAGAAAGCTACACTTGATTATAAGATATTGGAAACTCTGAAAAGCTCTCAAATATTACTAAGGTTGTGACATCATGTGTCTTTTCATAATTTTCAGAGTCAATTATCAAATTATCTGAGTTAAGTACCAAAGTAAAATGAAGTAATGGTATATACTTAAGTTACAATGAGATTAGCATGACTTAATTATGAATAGGTTACATAAACATAATATTTAAATATCTTTCTTACCTGATAACAAAGATTGTTATTAATTGAAAAATAAGTATTGTAATGTTAGTATTTTGTTTGTAAAAGACAGATTTTCTGTTCCTTCTGGGTAGGAGTGATAAACTACAATATCTTTTGCTTTTTAATTATCTATAGGCAGGTTTTTGCCCATTATATAGGTGCATATTTTATTTTTATACCTAAAATTTTTAAATTTTAAACATACTTGGAATGAAATGAATCTTGCTTTCTTGTTCTTATAAATTTGGTTTAATAGATACAAACATAATTTATGGTTGTCAGAAGGGGTCCTGGTTTGTTTTCTGTTGCTATGATTGAATAATAACTACAACCAACTTTGCCAGAAAAAAAGTTTATTTGCCTTATACTCCATTTTTGTGAAAGCCAGATAAGTAGATTGAAGCACTATTCTTCCTACATTTTTTTCAGGAACTTTGGAACTGATTCAAATAATTAATTATATTATATATATGGGGGGTGTTGGAGGTGGGTGTGTTCCAAATTATTTTGTGCTGGATATTTTAATATAAGACTTGGTTTTTACTTGTACAGATATGATTATATTTAAACATCTTTCCTATAGTACCTATATTTTACAGATTTGTTTTATAACAGTTGAAAAAAGTTGTGAATATGGGTTTCTGTTTTAGATAACACGGCTGTAATTCTGAGCAATAGAACTGATTTTAACCTTAAAGAAGAGCCTGTCTTCTACATGATCATCTTGATTGCTGATAACGGAATCCCATCTCTTACAAGCACAAACACTCTCACTATACAAGTTTGTGACTGTGGAGAGAGTAGAAACACAGAGACTTGTACTAACAAGGGTCTTTTCTTTATCATGGGATTCAAAACAGAAGCAATAATTGCCATCGTGATATGTGTTATGATAATATTTGGTAAGTCATATTGAATGGTACAGAACTTAACTTGCATTTCACTATGTAGGAAATAATTACAAAAATGTTCTACAAGTGTTAAGTTGCACTAAATATGTTTAAAATTTAAAATGAAATGGAGTTGCTTTTAATAAATGTTTGTTTCATAAATGCTCCATTTAATACCTGAAAATTGTTTCTTGGAGGTCTTATATTATTATATGTTTACATTGTTACTGTCTTTATGTAAGCAAGAAGAAGGCATCGGATTCCATTACAGATGGTTATGAGCCACCATGTAGTTGCTGGAAATTGACAGCGTGATCTCTGAAAAAGCAGCCAATGCTGACTGCTGAGCCATCTCTCTAGCCTCCTTGAAAGTCTTTTGTTTTTTTTTCTCAGCTACTTTGTAGTACAGTGTCTGAAATTATATAACGAGTAGTTATGATAACTATTTCAATTTTAATATAGTATATTTTATTTATACTTTTATTTTATTTGAAAACTGTATATACTTTGATGATATAATATATTTCATTGCAGAATGATTATGTGAATAAAGTTAACATAATTATGATCATTATTTATAATTTTTGTGTTGAAGGCACATGATAATTTAATAATTTTAAATATCTAATACTTCATTATTAACTATGGATATGATGCTATGCAAGAAGGCTTCAGAATTTATTCTTTCTAAATAGTTATAAATATAATGTTTTCTGGGATCATTCATGCCATAAAGGGATTTTCTTAATTTTTGAAAGTCAATAATTGAGGGAGTAGCTGAAGGTAGCAGTAGGGAAAATGAACCTTGAAAAACTAAGAATAAAACCTCAGATCAAATTGACTTTGTTAAACTGAATCACAACTTCTAGAGAGTTACCTTGTGGTTTTTTGTTAGCAAATGTAAACACAGTATAGTTTGGGAAAAAAAATATTTCCTGGTTTCATGCAATCACTACTACACAAGGAAGCATAGTAGCATCGAAACTCAGCTGAGGGTATATGTTACTTTTTTCCCAAGAAGGTGAGTTCTAGAAATAGGCTATCTAATGTAGCTTCAGGGCCTTGAGAGTCTTGGTCCATTAGATAGGGAAGTATTTGGGATATTATCCACCTCTGGTTCTGGTTGTGGGAGCTTAGGGAAAGTTAAAAGTATTCTAAGTGGCATCTATATTTCTAGGAGTCTAGTACTAATCATAGATGTTTGATATGGCCTCGTCCACCAGATAACACAGATCACCAAGCTGTTAATTAATTCTACCTTCTATAATTCTGAATGAAAGAACAAATTTTATACCCAGTCATTTAATAGGAAAGCCCTTTATTCTTAATGCTCTCAACAAATAACCTTCTCTCTCTCTCTCTCTCTCTCTCTCTCTCTCTCTCTCTCTCTCTCCCTCTTTTCTTCTCTCTTCCTCTTACTCCCTCTCTCTATTCCCCCTCTCTCTCTCTCTCTACACACACACACGCACACACACACACACACACACACACACACACACATTCAATAGTAATTGGAGTCCGTAGTCTTATCAATCAGGAATAAGGCTACAGTACACATAAAAGTAAGATGTCTTGAGCTCTATTGGTGGCTAAGCAGTTAAGTGCATTGGTGCTCTGGCATTGTTACAGAATTTGAGTTTCCAGTCACACAAGTCCCCATGGTTCCCATCTGCTACCTATAACTCTGACCACATAGAGATCTGATACCCTCTTCTGGCATCCTCAGGCACCTGTATACTGACTTAAAAGAATCAAGTACAATACTCATACACATAAGTTTTACACAAATAAATATTTATAAAAATATTTCAGGTATTGATCAACATATTCATTTCATGTATCAATAATCAAATTAGTATTTCTTTATGAATGCTATAAGATCCTGAGAATTCTTGGTATTATATCTTTTTTAACTGTCTGGTAAAATTCAGTTAAAAAATATGATGTCCTTGAGTTTTCTTCTTTTTCATGGTAGCCATAGTGATCCAATCTCCTTTCTTGGTTATTTGTCCTGAAGATTTCTCATTACTCCTAAGTATGGTCTTGGTAGATTATATGTTCTGTGAATTCATTCACTCATTCACTTTTTCCCCACATTCTACAATTCATCAATATGTAATGGTTCATTTTCTGTCAATTTCATGTTTTCTGTTTGATCAGCTACAATGTCCTCATTTTCTATTGTATTTGAGTGTGGTCTCTATTTTTTTTTATAAGAAACACTACCCAGTATAAATCTCTTGGCTGTAATTTTAGTAAGATCACTTCATATTTGTTTCCAAGGCAGTAACATGAAATATTGAGGAGGCAAATATGATGCAGAACTAAGGAAGGACTGATTATTGTTGATACTCAAACATAAACTCAAAAGCATTGCATCTTAAAATTGCTGTATTGTTACATGCTTTAAAAAGAATCTCCGGTAGAAGCTACTGAGTTTGACTAATCGGTAGTATGATTAGATACTTGATAGTTTTGAATTTCTGAAACTGCTCCTATTACAGAATCCAAATAAGAATGTTCTTTCTTACTGTTTTCTGTAGTTATGATATGATACTCCTATACATTTTCTCAGTTTTTATGGATCATTATTGATAATGTATGATTTTCATAACAATAAAGCATATCAGTAAAATTTAAGCATTCATAACAAAGTGTGAATACAAAGACATTTTTTACACATACACAGACATAAACATTCAGACACACAGACACACAAACACATACACAGACACATACACACACACACACACACACACACACATATATATATATATATTGTAGTCTCTATATAATACCAATTATGTATATAATTGTATATTAATACTAGCTTCAAAAATAATTGTACCATAATTTTTCTTCAAAGAGTATCAAATGTTTTCTTTCTGAACTTTCATAAGCGTGGATCATTGGTCACTAAGTACATTCATATTGAAAAATATTCAATTATTGTTCTTTGTTCTGTTTAACATTGGAACAAAATTAAATTACACTTTGAGTTTTAACTTGAGCAAGATTCAGAATAGTTCACTCTATTTGCATTGCACGTACCTCTAAGCCATCAGCCATAAAAATGGTTGCATTTTATATATTATTTTGCAAATATTACTTACTTATGTCGCATTATCGAGTTTAGGGTGAAGTCTTGAATATATCAAGGAAAAGGATTACAAAATTTTCACTATGCACCATGATGCAGTTATTTTTATTTGTCCATTCTTCAGGATTTATCTTTTTGATTCTGGCTGTGAAACAGAGAAGAAAGGAGACTCTATTTCCAGAGAAAACTGAAGATTTTAGAGAGAATATATTTTGCTATGATGATGAAGGCGGTGGGGAAGAAGACTCAGAAGCCTTTGATATCGTAGAGCTAAGACAGAGTACAGTCATGAGAGAAAAAAAGCCACGGAGGAGCAAGAGTGCAGAGATCAGGAGCCTGTACAGGCAGTCCCTGCAGGTGGGCCCAGACAGTGCCATATTTCGAAAATTTATCCTAGAGAAGCTTGAAGAAGCCAACACAGATCCATGTGCTCCCCCCTTTGACTCACTACAGACATTTGCCTATGAGGGGACAGGGTCATCAGCTGGCTCTCTGAGCTCCTTGGGATCCAGAGCCACTGATCAGGAAGACGACTTTGACTACCTTAATGACCTGGGACCTCGTTTCAAAAGATTAGCATGCATGTTTGGTTCTGCAGTGCAACCCTACAATTAAGGCTTTCCAATATCAGCATGCAATAATTATTAAGGTATATTTAGATGAAATGACAGACTTTTGAGAGAATTTCCTACTCTGGCTTTCTGTCTGGCATGAGATCTGATTTGTAGAATTATGATCTTCTCATGTACACACTCATGGTGACTTCATATTCAACACAGAGGCTGGGAGGGATGCTACTAATCAGAGTTGACGTACAGCTGCAAAGAATGAGTACTACAAAACTGAGATGGTCATCTGGAATATTTCCGTGTAATCCAATGTAGATTGTTAACAATTCTGAAAGTCAAGATGAAAAATGTGTCAAAGAAAGCTGCCCACATTGTTTTCCATCTGTCTGTTCTCTTAGAAAGTATGAAGCCTCTATGTGCTCTAAGCTCATGATACTGTGCAGAGATCAATTTTAACAACAAGGGCAATTCTGAGTGGTTTCATAAAGGCATACAAGTATCTGTTTATATAAATAACCAGTTTTCTTATTGAGATCTTATGCACTATTTTATTAGGAAACTTATAAGATATCTGCAGAGATTACTCTTTAATATTCCAAATTTGGCTCCATTAAATATATAATTTAATCAGAGATACATAGTAACTTTTCTCGTTTGATTACCCTGAGTTTGTACAAAGAAGGAAACCAAGATATATGCTTAGGGGCTCTTATAGATTATTTTTTTTTAGCCACCTCAAATGTCTATCCTTTTCTTGTAAAATTACAATAAAAAAATACACGTCAATATTTACTTGTGATTAAATTATCACAAGTGTAACTGATGGAAATTACAGAAATTTTTAAGTACATTTTGCTTTCTACTGAACTTGAGATAGCTAAATAACAGCTCTACTGAATTCAAATTTGAATTATTATTTACCCGAAATATTATAATCACCTTCACTGTCTACCACTCTTCACAGAAATAAAAATATGATGCCAGTCTCTTCATTTCTTTTCTATTATAGAAGCTTAGCATGTGGCCTACCACCAAGTGCCATTTTAAAATTATTGAATTAGAAATAAGAAGCAATGGAAACTTCTCATTATAGCATTATGGAGGAACTAAGCCGTCAGTCATGAAACTTCAGAGTAAATTAGGCTACATGGTAATTGACAATAAAACACAATACTTTAAACTGACTTTTAAAAAATGTTTCTTATTATATACAAATGAAAATGGAGTTCAAACTTGATATTTCAATTAGAAATGATGTATTGAACACAATGGTTTTAAGATATATAATGTGTCAATTTTTATACTGTGTGACCTTGAACTACACTATGTATATGGATATAAAATATTTCAAATAATTTTCTATGTAGTAAGGCAGTTGAGTAGCTATATTTTTCTTTGTATTGTGAAACATATACACTCATATAATATAATAAATGGAAAGAATATCAATTTGGAATAGGAATCATTTTGTTTGTGCCACAGATATTACTTAGAAGATCATGAAGCAGTCACATTTGACATATATCAGTTAAGATAGTAAAGTAGCTGAGACATTTCCTATTATTGTAGGTCATTACACATCAATAGTGTTATGCTCTTGGCAGGAAAAATTAAAAAGCAGAAATGTTACAAAGGAAAATGTAAAACCTATAATTCACCTGGAGATTTGTGTATTAGAAATTTATTATTCCTATCACAATATCCTACTGTAAAAGAATATTACAGAAATTATAATGAATAAAATCACTCTATGAATGGCCATTTTGTAAATTTTAAAATAAGTGTCCTGGAACCTTTACTGTAAAACTGGAAAGTCTGTTGTACAAAGGTGATTAAATAGAAAATAAATGGAGTAAAGAAAAAAATTAGGTCTAGGGATTGTAGCAGGAATTTTAACCATACCTCCCCACCCCAGCATTTGTATGAACAGCTGATACATGATATGAAATATAGAGTGCCTATTGCTTATGAGCAGTTAGTGTTTTCATATTAGTGAAAAACACTGCAATTTATATAAGATTGTCCAGTACACAGTATATTCAAAAAAGGGAATAATTATATTCATAATTATAGAAAATATATAAAACTTTTATCATCCTACAGAGTAATATATAATATTAGATAATTCATAAATTCCTAGAAACAATAATAAACAGTTTTTGTAGTTGTTTTTTTTTCTTGTAAATCATAAGTGCTGCAAGAATTTATCTTTTCCATGTTGAACACTTTCCCTGATTTTAGAACAGTTTAATAACATCTAAATTAACATCATCATGTATATATTCCAATTTTATGTTAATAAGCTCTTCAACCAACTCTCAGTCTTATATAGAAGCTTCTAATTGCAAATTCTTTAAAATAAGCAATATTTAAAGATAATAGTAGAATTAAAGTATATGAACAGTCCTGTTTTTCAGAATAATTTAGTGCCACTTAATATTGTGAGCTAATTTACTTTAATTAGCATAACTGTGAACTTGAGGATCCATGTAATCTTTATGAACTTCAGTTTATAGTGTATAGAGAAAGGCTGAATCTCCTTATTCGCATCATTATAATGAAGAATAGACAATAAGCTGAAAATAAAAGGACTATATAGATAGTGACCAAATGTAAGGACTCAGTCAATGACAGAGCATCATTCTAGCATCTAATTTATGATAGTGTGATGCTCAGCCTTCTTTTTCCTCCAAGGAGTGGTCCCAAAGCTTCTTAATATCTATGAAAATAATCATCTTATATTCTGAGCCATTCAGCATTTATTACTCTGTCTTTACTTGTGCATGCTATCCTTCCTTTCTGTCGGTATTATTTGTTATTTCTGTCACTATCTTTAAACCTTTCTTTCCTCTTATCCTTCTCTCCCCACAATTTGTATCTCAGCAATAATTGTTTACTTAGGAAGATACACTGACTACTAATTTATTTTAGTAGTGCTTACTTCATCTATGTTTAAAAATATATACCAATCAGCTGCATAATAATAAATAATAATTTAAAAGTATGTAATTTCCTTTTCCCTCCAATCTTAAAACATAAACCATGTGTGGGACAGATATTATGAATTTCCTTCCTTTATATGAAAATAGTTCCCAGATCATAGAAACTTAGCAATAAACATTCTTTTTAGGATTGAACAATGGATTCAAATCTATTTTAATTAGCACATGAGGAATTTCTATGAATTATTTTCATCGTATATTCGAATATAATATATAAGTAATGTTATTCAGAATAGGTCAGTTTAGATTACTTCTTTGAAATGGAGAGTATTTTTTAAATGTATGACCTTCACAGATTTGTTTGCATTTATTGATAATGAAATAGGCCAATTACTACTGATAAATAGTACTATTGTGCTATAATACTTTTTTTGATTGTCAATATAGTCAGTTTGTGGGACAATAAAGGAAGGAAAAGAAAAAAAAACATAACTCTACTCTTCCAATATCATTTTTTACTTCAGAGGATGAGCAGTTACTATACAGATACAATTTACACATTTCACCCTCAAGAAAATATAAATCTCTTCTAGTACATAAATGATTCTATTGCATACTACAGAACACAACTCATATATCACATGTATACTGAGGCACCCAGTGCTCCTCAGTTTGTATCAGTTAACTTGAGTTTGGCATTCTATACACCAAAGTACAGACTAATTATATAGATGAAATCAAGGTATATATAGCATTTATATATTCTACTGTTACTGTCACATATTGATAACATAATTTGCTGGAAAAGATGAGACTAGCTGGTCAAGAATAGGTAATAAATTGGGACATCTTGAAAATTTTCCAGAGTTAACTTAGGACACTCTAAGGTTGGCAGCTGATCAATCATGCCGTTTCAGGAGAAGGAAGGACAACAGCTTATTGCTAACTCCTAAACAGGCTAAGTAAAAAGTTTTCAATATGTCTAGCATTTCACCTTTAGAAATATTACTAAGTTAGTAGAGGTTAAGAAAAAGCTTAAATCAGTCATGCAAAGACTGTTTCACATGGTTCAAGGAATAACTGACATCATGTTCTTGAGATGAGTTTCTGAAAATATACTGCACAACTTCTCCTAGGAGAGCCCAATCATAGGCTCATTCTCTTCTCAAGAGAGGAAGGTAGTGGGATCATACAGTTCCTGCATCTTTACCATGATCTTAACTGTTACTCCTCCCACCCCATCCTGGATTTCTGAGTACCACAATCAGGTAAGGATATACATAATTTCCTCAAGAAAATATGAAGGTCCTCTTATACATAGTAAATGAGTTCCTGTGTATATTTCAAAATAGGCAGAAGTTATGGACCTTTCTAATAGTATTTGGTCTCTGTGTGCAACAGAGTAATCAATGCAAAGATGCCTACAACTATAAAAAATTGTATTGATTATTCATTTTTTATATTAAAATTAGTAAAATGGCTTTAGGTAACAAGCCATTTTACTAATATAAATCAAGATATACATTGTAGAATTCTAAAACCAACTAAAATTCCATTTTCTAATTTAGAACATAAGCAAAAATACAAACAGATAATAATTTTAATGTTCATAAAATATCCTAGATCATATTAAAACAGTTTATTTTATGTTATTCTGTAAATTTCCTGTATTCATATTAGTATTTAAAAGAAGACCTTTATTAGTAACTTCCATTGTATAAAATTATATATTTCTACTATAAATAAAGCTAGCTAGAAATGTTATCTCAAATGTTTCCTGACTAGAAAAATGAAAAAAAAATCAATAGAATTCTAACTGTAATATCATAAAGAAAGTGGACATGATTTCACTAGTTCTAAAAACTAATTTCAAACATTTCCATAATTTGTCTTATTTGTATGCTATATAAGTGGTCTATAAAGTTTACTTTTAATTATTTTCTGCCTCCTAACATTTTTTTTTTGCTGTCTATCCATGGGCATTTTATTTAAAACCTTCTCCCTTGACACCTAGATCTATGCAATGGGGATATTAAGGATGCATGAATCTTTTGTAAAATCTAAGTGAATTTCTAACACACAGGGAACGTATATATTGTATTATTCTACACCTAATGAATATATTATTCATTAATATTCATATAATATTCCTATTCACAACAAATATTGCATGTATTTACTTATTGTTATTACTAAAATAGTGACAACTATTTTATTAATGTTACATTCAGGAATGTTCACAGACCTACCTCCTTATGCAACTACTAGACTTAAAATGGATAAGAAGAAATAAAATGAATTAATTTGGTCAATAATTAGCTTACTTTTCCTTTCTGTTCCCTCCCATTTGATCCCTTAGGGTGTTTTTCTGTTATTACCAAAGGAAAAAATTAATTGCTTATGTCATACATTATGCATTGAATTTTCTTGTTGAAAATATTTTCTCTCTTGCATTTATTTGGGGAAAAATTGAAAAGTTTCACGTCAACTAACTTTCTAGCAACTTTTTCTGGTATATATATTTTGTAAATATTTTTTAAAGAAGACTTGGTTTTGTATTAGTGTATATAAATTATCTATGCATTGTATTATAACTACAAGGGGATGAAGAAATGGCACAGCGGTTAAGAACACTGACTGCTCTTCCAGAGATCCTGAGTTCAATTCCCAGGAAGATGGTGGCTTACAGCCATATGTAACGGGATCCGATGCTGTCATCTGATATGTCTCAAGAGAACAATAATGTACACATATACATAAAATAAATAAATAAATAAATAAATAAATAAATATTTTTTAAAAAAGAACTATAACCAAAAAAGTGTAGAAATACAGTAATACATCCAGTAGAAAGTATGACAAATGTATTGTCCATGTCTGACATCTATCATTCATTGTTTTCCATTTATGTTTTGCTTGTTTGTTTGTTTGTTTGTTTGTCTTTTAAAGAGTTCAACTGAACATAGATTATTTTCACCTCTGAAAAAAAACCAAAGAAAACTTTACATCCCTCATTTAAATTTGCCTTCCCTTCAAAACACATTTCCTTTCAAAATACATTTGAGTATACATTGCTATTATTATTTTCTACCTTTATTTTTGTATCTGAGCCAGTGCTACAACTCAGAAATTTTTTGAGGCAATTGTCCAGACTATATAACACTTATGAATTCAGAAAGTTTCCTATGATCCCAGATAACCTCTACATTGATCTGAAAGATTTCTCTGTGAAGTTAATGATCTATGTGAACTCTATCTAAAACTAACACATCTTCACTATATTTTCATACAGAACACTGCAACAAATTATTTGATAATGTTTTCTTTTAATGATTATGTAAACAGCATTGTCCATTTCATTTTACTTATTTATTAACAGTAACTTGTTTTGATTGTATATAATAAAAATAATATTTTCTAATACTATAGTTTACATGAACAATGGTCACTTCTTTATAACATACCTATATTATTCTATTTTTGTATAATAACTGTTAAATTGGTTCTATACTCAGAAATACAACAGTATTGGCATAAATGTGAAAAATAAGCTTGTTTTCAATTTTCTAATATAGAATGTTAGTATGCAAACTTTTTTTTCAAAGGAAATAACACACATCAAATGTGTTATGCTCCTATTACTTATTTTACATGTAGATACAGTGAACATCTTCATGCTATTAACTAGATACTCAAATTTTTGTGTTTGAATATTTTTAAGACAAAGACTCTTGTCCCCCTATTGACCTTGATTTTATTGTCTAGTCAAAGATTATATTGAATCACTGATCTGTTGCAGGAGATATTTAAAATAACAGCACCCAATCTAGTTTGTT